CTTTAATGTCTCAGTGTATAATTTAATTTATACCTACATTTAATTAATTGTATGCTTATTTATTGAGCATTAATCTATGTATATATTTATTTTTAAATATGGTAGAACTGATCCTCCATCTTCTATGTTTCACCTCCAGGGGGCAGAATGTGCATAGGATTCACACTCAGGATAGTAGAACAGCTTAGCAGGTTTTTATCTACTGTTTAAATGAAGATAATGGAGATAATAGAAGATAATCTTATACTCTGCAGAAGGTTACTCAATATTTTGCCTAAATTTGAACAAATGGAACTTACAGAAAATAGAGGAATAATAAATAGAAACATTTTGTCCTGCTAAAGGCTTTTTTAGCCCTAGAAACTGACGTCTGATTATTTTTTGAAACAACTGAGTTTGATGTTAAATTATTATTATTGTTTTCGTTTCAGACACTAATGGAACAATAATATAATCCTTTAGGTTTTTTCAAGAAAAATAATGTAGATATTCCTTTAAAAAAAAATTTGTTTTGTTCTTTATTCTTTATTTTTGTCTACAAATGTTGGTGTTAACGGAGTCATAACCTCGTATTTCACTAAGATATTCGCTCTAAAAGGCGTGTTCAACTTAATGTTTCATAATTTTAAGGTTGATAGTTTTTAAATAGTTTGAATTCAGACCTCTACTTTTTCTTCCAAGCGTACAGTTGAGAATCTGATTTGTGTGAATGCTTGTTAACATGGGATGTAGTATTAGCAACAGTAGCAGTCAGCCACGGTTTCGTTACATCACTTCCCACTATTTTACACAATAGGTCAGAGGTCACGGATTAGCGGACCGCGGTCCGGATCTGGACCCAAACTGATTTAGAACATTTATAAATTACAGGATGTTGCCCAACGACGGTGTCTAATTTCACTTGCGCCGCTGGACCTGCTGCTGTGAAGCAGGATTCTCCACCATGAACAGAATCAAAAATAAATCTGGATCCAGGCTCATAATGAGCTCCTTGATATGTGCTTTAGAATGGCTTAGTCTCCATTTAAACCAGGTTTAAAGCCTCGCCTCGTCAGTTCAGGTGTTTTATAAGATAGATTTTATAATGGAAAAATGTTTATTATATTTTTTTTTTATTTAAAAATTCAATGTATAACATGGATGCATAAACACCTCATGTTATTTCAGTGTAAAATTATGTTTAAAGTTACAGATTATAATTAAAAATGTNATTTAAAAATTCAATGTATAACATGGATGCATAAACACCTCATGTTATTTCAGTGTAAAATTATGTTTAAAGTTACAGATTATAATTAAAAATGTCTCTGGACCTTTACTGGTTGATTTTCTTTATTCTTTTTACCCGCTGATTTTGACTGGGTTACCCCTGCTATAGGTATTAAGTTACATAAGCAGTGACACTTATACCTCTATACCACCGGCTGAAAAACCGTTTTAAACCCAGGATTTTTGCATTGGGAACAGCTCACTGACGCGTTACTAGCCGGCCTCGTTTGAAAAATACAGGTTAACCCCATATTTTCAGTGGTAGAGGCAGGGGCACCACCAGGAATCTGGGGCCCCATGATTGACATTTATATAGGGCCCCCTCCACCAAGAAAAAAAAATGAATTTAAGCTTTAATACTGCTATAAAGATGCACTAAAGACTATCATTTACATATTTTATGTAATTTTTATTTTAAAATTTCTACAAAGGAAAATTATCATAACGTGAAAAAGTTAAATATACATTAACTTTTAATTTTTCTTATCAAAAATAATAATAGCTTATTTAAAACAAAAAATAATATGGTATTTAAATGGTGTAAAAATCTTTTTATATATTCAATATATTCATGTTTTGTTTCACTGTTTACTCCTGAAAAACGATGGGAAAGCACAGAGATCATTTATTTCACTGCTGAATTTGTTTTTTAATATTTGAAATACATAGCGGGGGGAAATCTTTTCTTCTTCTTTAGACGATGCTGGTGCTAGCAAAGCAGGCTAATGTTAGCAGCCTTTCACAAATTAGTTAAATCCGGAGGAGGAGCTAATTCGCACTCTTTGGACTTTTCTCGTTTGAACACCCAGCCAACCAAAAAATAAAAACCAGTATCAACCGGTTTTAACCGAACGCCAACACCAACATG